GATGCGGGACTCGATCCCGGGACTCCAGGATCATGACCTGAGCCGAAGGCAGTCGCTTAACCAACTGAGCCACCCAGGCGCCCGCCCTCGCTTTTTGTTTGTCGGAGGAAGGCTTTTCTTCTTCACTTTTGAAGGATAGTATCTCAGGGTCCAGGATGTTAGGTCGGTGGTTTTTTTCTCTCAACACGTTGATACTTCACTCCACTCTCATCTCACATCGTTTCCAGAAAGTAGGATATAATTCTTACCATTGCTCCTCTGCAGCTGAGGTGCTTTCTCCTCTGGCTTCCTTCGGGAGTTTCTTAACCTCTGCCTTTCTAGTTTGAAAAGGATACGCATAGAGGTAGGGTTTTTGTTTTGTTTTTTGCTTCATTTCTGATGCTTATCCTGCTTGCTGTTCTCTGTTTCTAGGATCTGTGGTTTTGTGTCTGAAATTTGGAGAAAATTCTCAGTTGCTATTTCTCATATTTCTTGTTTCTCTCTCTCCCTCTCTCCTCCTGTTGATCCCATGACGAACGGGTTACACCTTGGTCCACAGCCCTTGGACACTCCCTTCTGTGTTCTTCCAGCCTTGTTTCTGTTTGCTGCTTGGTTTGGGAGGCTTCTGCTGGTGAATCCTCAGGCACCGAGCTCACTCCCTCAGCCACACCCAGTCCACCCACAAGCCCATCGAAAGGTGTTCTTCATTCCTGTCACAGGGTTTCTGGTCTCTGGAGCTTCTTTTTGAGTCTTTCTTCGGATTTCCACCTCCCTGCTCACATCGCCCATCTGTTCTCGCATGCTGCCTACTCTGCCTGCGAGAGCCCTTAGCATATGAGTCACCGTGGCTTAAGTTCCTGAGATGATCATTCCAGCATTTCTGCCATAGCTGCATCTGGTTCTGCTGCTGCTATGTCTCTTCAAACTGTTTTTGCTTGGGTTTTCTTTTTTGGCTTTTAGTACACCCTGTCCTTTGTTCTTGATGGCCAGCCATGATGCGCCGGGCAAAGGAACTGCTGGAGACTGGCCTTGAGTGACTTGGTAGGATCTTTCCTAGGATTAGGACTCCGACTTGCACAGAGCCTGTGCCCCTGGGATGTGACCCTCACAGGGTTTCTCAGTCCCCCTGCTATGGTGGGACAGGGTGGCCAGAGCTGGCTGGGGTTGGGTGTTTCTCTTCTTCCAGGTCAGTTAGGCTCTGACAAAACCCCAGGAGGTTAGGCCCAGTGAGCTAGTTTCCCCTGGCCTTGTTAAGAAGAACACAGTGCTCTGCTGTATTTCAAAGTGAGTTACCCCCTCTCCCTGCCAGAAGCAGGAGGGGTTTTTTCTTGGCTCTTCACTAGGAGAACCTGGTAGAACTCCAGGAGGTAAAACTCCCAGACCCCATGACCGGGACCCCGTGACCAGCTCCCCAGAGTTCCTAACTCCCAGGTTTGTCCAAGCCGAGCATCCGGACCTGGCTCTGGTCCCCAGGGAGGTTTCGGCTTGTGGGTTTTTGCTCGGCAAACTCTGATTCTCGGGACTCACGGGTTGGCCTCTCCAGTCACGGGGCGGAGGGCTGCTCTGTGACCTCACTGCCATTTCAGATCTCACAAGACTTACAGACTTTTCAGTTTGTTCTGCTTTTCCTCACTGTTACTATGGAGTAGTGACTTCCATGGGCAACCAGAAACTGGAAGCCAAGATCTCGATCCTCTCGATCTGGGGAAATCCTTGGATCAGGGACTCCGTCTTGCTCAGGGACCAGGGACTCTGTCATCAAGCAGCCCATGTGCAAGTGTATTCTCTCTACAGAGCTGTCATTCTCAGCGTCACGGTGGGAGAACCGAGCCCCTGGGAGCCAGCACAAGCCAAGAATCACGTTGGAAGGGACCCTCGCATACAGAGTGTGATACAGGACGGCGACTTTCTCCCCCACAAACCTAACCTGTGACGAGCAGCAATCTCTGCCTCTGGGGGTTTTAAGACGTCCCCTCTTTCCCCATCCATTCTCCTCCTTGCATTATTTCTTCTTTGTCACGATGCATCGCATGTGTAGACTTCTCCCTTGGCCCTCACCAATGTACATTTATATATTTTTAGTTGGTTAGGAATTTTAAGAAACCATCATCCTGGCAATGGGATACAGTGCATTCTGTGTCCTGGCGCTTCTGCTTCTGCTCTCTGACAACTCAGGATGGTAAGCTCACTGACCAGGACACACAAATGGGCTCTGACTTCTGACCGAGTAGGAGGGAGGGTGCTCTGTGGTCAGTGCTGAACGCTTGTCTCTTTCAATTTCCTCAAATGGGGCACCAGGAAATCACACCAAGATTAACCACCTCCGACTGGGTCTGGCGGCCCCCTTTCTGATTACTGTGGGGGCTGTCCTGGCTGAAGCCTGGCAGAGCCGCAAGGAGTGTCTGCATGGACCCAAGTAAACAACTGAGCACCCTTCTTTTTCATGGGCTGTCCTAGTGATAGGGGGCATGTCAACACCAAACTTGCCTTGTGGGGACCTCCTATGTTTCTCAATGTGGCATGATTGGTATTTCTGGTGGGACATTTCTTACCATGTAGGACTCTCTGGTTCATTGCAAGAACATTCAGTATATCTCCCTCATCTCTCGTTAAATCAGCTGAAGCCCCAATCACTGTGTAGACATACTAACTAACACTCCCATACCCTCTCAACATCCCTAGATACGGAGGAGGGGGGGAGAGTTCCACTGGTGGAGACCTGTGTTTGGAGGCCAGGAGAAATCATATCTTCCTCTTCCTCCCTCGCCTGACCTCTCTCTTGGTTCTTCTCCACCTACAGGTCCCACAGCTGCTGAGGGGAATGATGACTGTTGATGAAGTTGGACCCACTGACCCTGAACAGTTTCCAGTGGATCGTGCATTCTCACCTCTGCTGAGAGCCCCTCCCGGACAAGATGATGGTTTCCTCTTCTGTACTCCTCACCTGCAGCAGAGAACAGGACGGGGCATAAAAATCCACGCAACAAATGATTATGCCACTCTGAAACTCTATATTTGGTTACACCAATATGACATGTCACTTAGGTCACACCCCAAATTTCCATACATGGATGAACCTCTTTCTGGGATCATTACTCTAGTTATTTGGTGTGTCTTTATTTTGCATTTTCCTCATAGCTAATAATAATTAGTGTCTTCCCACATACTATTGGCCTTTTTAAAATTTTTTATCAAAATACAATCAAATGGGGCGCCTGAGTGGCTCAGTGGTTAAGCATCTACCTTAGGCTCAGGTCATGATCCCCCCAGGGTCCTGGGATCCAGCCCCATGTCGGGCTCCCTGCTCTGCGGGAAGCCTGCTTCCCCCTCTCCCACTCCCCCTGCTTGTGTTCCCTCTGTCTCTCTCTCTGTCAAATAAATAAAATCTTTAAAAAAAAATACAATCGGGGCGCCTGGGTGGCTGATCCCCCCAGGGTCCTGGGATCCAGCCCCATGTCGGGCTCCCTGCTCTGCGGGAAGCCTGCTTCCCCCTCTCCCACTCCCCCTGCTTGTGTTCCTGTTCTCCCTATCTTTCTCTCTCTCTGCCAAATAAATAAATAAAATCTTTAAAAAAAAATACAATCGGGGCGCCTGGGTGGCTCAGATGGTTAAGCATCTGCCTTCGGCTCAGGTCATGATCCCAGGGTCCTGGGATCAAGCCCTGTATCAGGCTCCTGGCTCAGCGGGGAGCCTGCTTCTCCCTCTCCCTCTCTCCCTGCTCATGCTCTCTCTCTCTCTCTCTCTGTATCTCTGTGTCTCTGTGTCTCAAATGAATAAATAAATCTTTAAAAAAAAATACAATCAACATATAATGTTGTATTAGTTTTAGGCACACAACATATTGATTCAATGATTCTACACGTTAGTTGATGCTCACCATGGTAAGCATAGTCACCATCTGTCACTATACGACGTTTATTTTAATTCCTGATAAAGTATCTGATTAAATATTTGCCCATTTTTATTTTTTTAAAGATTTCATTTATTTATTTGACAGAGAGGGACACAGCTAGAGAGGGAACACAAGCAGGGGGAGTGGGAGAGGGAGAAGCAGGCTTCCCGCCGAGCAGGGAGCCCGAGGCGGGGCTCGATCCCACTACCCTGGGACCATGACCTGAGCCAAAGGCAGACGCTTAATGACTGAGCCACCCAGGCACCCCTATTTGCCCACTTTTAATTGGGTTATTTGTCTTAATACTGAATTGCAAGAATATATACAGGGGCGCCTGGGTGGCTCAGATGGAAAAGCATCTGCCTTCGGCTCGGGTCATGATCCCAGGGTCCTGGGATCAAGCCCCACACTGGGCTCCTGGCTCAGCGGGGAGCCTGCTTCTCCCTCTGCCTCTCCCCCTGCTCGTGCTCTCTCTCTCTCTCTATCTCTGTGTCTTAAATGAATAAATAAAATCTTTAAAAATTAAAAAAATATATATATACATATTCTGGTCACAAGTCTGTTAACAAACATCTGCTTTGCAAGTTTTTTCTTACAGTTTGTTGACTTATCTTTTCATTTTTAAACCTCTCTTAAAGAGCAGAAGTTTTAAATTTTGGTTAAGCTCACCAATTATGAATTATTTTTTCTTTATGGCTTGAGAATTTTGTCCTAAGGAATCTTTGCTCAACTCAAGGTCACAAAGATCTTTTTCCTATGTTTTCTTATGTAACTATTATAGCTTTAGATTTTACATTTAGGTCTTAATCTTTTTTTTCCTAAACATTTTATTTTTACTTATTTGAGAGAGGAAAAAGCACGTGCATGCACAGAAGCCAAAGAGTAGCCAAGAGTAAGAACACTTCCCAAAAGTTCACATGTAGAAACCTTAAGCCCCAATGTGATGGTGTTGGGAGGTGGGGCCTTTGAGAGAGAATTAGGTCATAAGGATGCAGTCTTCATGAATGGGATTAGTCTCTTCTTATAAGAGACACAAGAAAGATGATCTCTCTTCACCATGTGAGGATACAGGGGAAAAGGCAGCAGTCTGTAAACCGGGAAGAATGCACTTGCTAAGAATCCAAACATGTTAGCACCCTGGTCTCTGACTTCTAGCCTCCAGAACTGTGGGAATAAACATTTGCTAGTGTAGCCACCTGGTCTATGGTCTTCTGTTAGAGCAGCCTGAGCTGACGAAGACACCTACAAATGCACTTGCATGTGGGACAAGGGAAGAGTGCATGTCTTTCCCTTTCTGGAATATCCACTTGGATTTTGAGGTATGTTTTAGGACACCAAGCAGGGAGCCTTGTCCTGCTTGGAGTATCAGGGAATGAAAAGGGACGATGGAAAAGATCGGTTCAAAAACCTTTCAATGCCAGGGCTAAGACTGTCACATGTATTTCTCTGCAAGGAAAGGGTTTTCTCCATCTCCGAGCCAGTCCTTCTCCCCTCAAGTGGGTGTGGGTGACCACGGGGTGGTGTTTCAAGTGGCATTCACTGGGTGGGAGGAAGACGGTTAGTTATGGTGACTTTGCATCTTTTCACATTCTTGAAAAAAATCTCTGTGAGTCGAGCTTATACCGGGCATCTTGTCAGTCAGCCATCGTGTGTTCGTTGAGGCCCTACTGTGTGCCAGGATCCATGTACACAGACAGATGCCGAGGTTGACAGCACAGTGACATCGTGTCTCCTGTGGCACGAAGAACATACACTTCTATAAACTCGCTCGAGATTTTACAACCGGAGGGATGTTAGCATTCTGGTGACAGGAGTCAGTCCTTTTCTCTCTCCCTTCTGAGCACAACAAATCCACATCTGTAACTGAACAAAAGCACCTCTGCACTGCTCACTAGGACACCAGAGATCCAACCTTGTGTGCATGGAAGGTGGGTGGCTGGGACCTGCAGGTGGCTGAGTGGAAGAGGGGGACAATGAAGTGAGGAGTGAAAGTCTGCAGCCTGGCTGCAGCTGGAGGGGCCCCTGCTCCTCAGCCACACCCCCATTTTGGAGGGGAGACCTCCAAGACTGAACAGATAGAACTGAAGGAACAGTCTCCCACTGTCTGCCCAGAAGGAGCTCCAGGATCACCCCTTCGAGGACTCCCTACAGCAGGGACACACCCAAAGCAGCAGTGCTAAGCACGCACCTCCCCCCCACTCTGAGCCACCCCACCTTTTCCCCAATCTGCTTTTTTTTTTTTTTTTAAGATTTTATTTATTTATTTGACAGAGAGAGAGGAACACAAACAGGGGGAGTGGAAGAGGGAGAAGCAGGCTTCCCGCCGAGCAGGGAGCCCGATGCGGGGCTCAATCCCAAGACGCTGGGATCATGACCTGAGCCGAAGGCAGGCGCTTAACGACTGAGCCACCCAGGCGCCCCAGCCCCAACCCGCTTCTTCACATGCTCCCAAGCTTAGCTGGGAGGCAGCTCTGGCAAGAGAAACCAAGACTTGTGCCCTAGCGCCACCTTCTGGAACACAGAAGAAAGGCTCCTAGTGACCTACCCGTTGAACCATTAGATCAGAATCAAAGTGAACAAAACCTTACCCAAGTAAGAATGCGCTCACTACTTCAAGTGCAGGGGCAGGGATACTTCTCATCAAACACTATGAAGAATCACGGCAGCATAGCATCACAAAAAGCAAATGACAATTTTCCAGTAACCAACCAAACCCAAAGGCGCAACACTGTGATCTGATAAAGAATTCAAAAGAGGTGAGGTGGGGCGCCTAGGTGGTTAAACGTCCAACTCTTTTTTTAAAAGAAGATTTTATTTATTTGACAGACACAGCGAGAGAGGGAACACAAGCAGGGGGAGTGGGAGAGGGAGAAGCAGGCTTCCTCCCCAGCAGGGAGCCCAATGCGGGGCTCAATCCCAGGACCCTGGGATCATGACCCGAGCTGAAGGCAGACGCTTAATGACTGAGCCGCCCAGGCGCCCCAAGTGTCCAACTCTTGATTTCAGCCCAGGCCATGATCTCAGGGAACTGAGATCGAGCCCCGCATCTGGCTCTGTGCTGGGCGTGGAGCCTGGTTAAGATTCTCCCACCTTCTCCCTCTGCCCCTTTCCTCCCCACCCCTCCAGCTCTGCTCTCATGCTCTCTTAAAGAAAGAAAGGAAGAAGAAAGAAAGAAAGAAAGAAAGAAAGAAAGAAAGAAAGAAAGAAAGAAAGAAAGAAAAGAAAAGAAAAAAGAAAAAGCTGGGGCACATGGCTGGCTCAGTGGGTGGAGCGTGCAACTCGACCTTGGGGTTGTGCTTTCGAGCCCCATGTGGGGTGAAGCCTACTTAAAAATAAAATCTTAAAAAAAAAAAAAGAATTCAAAAGAGCTGCTATGAGGAAATTCAGTGAGCTACAAGAAAACTCAGAAAGTCAGTACAACGAACTCAGGAATAAAATTAATGAACAGAAGGAATATCTTACCAAAGAGATTGAAATTATAAAAAAGAGCCAAATGGAAATTCTGGAGCTGAAGAACTCAATAAATGAGATGGATAATACATTAGAAAGCACTGGAAATAGAGCAGATCACCTAGAAGAGAAAATAGGTGAGCCTGAATATAGGGATCTAGAAATGATTCAGGTGGAAGATGAGAGAGAACTAAGATTTTTATTTTTATTCTTTTTAAGATTTTATTTATTTGACAGAGAGAGAGAGCGCACACACAAGCAGGGGGAGTGGGAAGCAGTGGGAGGCAGAGGGAGAGGGAGAAGCAGGCTTCCTGCTGAGACGGGAGCCAGATGCGGGGCTCCATCCCAGGACCCTGAAATCATGACCTGAGCTGAAGGCAGATGCTTAACCATCTGAGCTACCCAGGCGCCCCAAGAACTAAGATTTTTAAAGCAAATAAACCCTACAGGAGGGGTGCCTGGCCGGCTCAGTCGGTGGATCATGTGGCTCTTGATCTCGGGATTGTGGTTTTGAGTCCCACACTGGGTTTAGAGATTACTTAAAAAAAATAAAATCTTAAAAACAAAACAAAACAAAAAAACCCTACAAGAACAATCAGGCTCCATTAGAGGAGAAAGCACAAGATCAAGGGTATACCAGAAGGAGAAGAGAGGGAGAGGGAAGGGGAACCTGTATTTAAAAAAACAAAAGCTAAGAATTCCCCAATCCTGGGGTAGAAACTAGACACAAAAGTCCACGAAGCAGGGACACCTGGGTGGCTCAGTTGGTTAAGAGTCCGCCTTCGGCTCAGGTCATGATTCCAGTGTCCTGGGATCTAGTCCGGCATTGGGCTCCTTGCTCGGTGGGGAGCCTGCTTCCCCCTCTGCCTG